TGCAGCAGCTGCAGAACATCTGATGTGTGTGTGTGTGTGTGTGTGTGTGTGTGTGTGTAAGGATTAAGATATTAGTTATTGGTCATAAATCAAATTATCATAATAAATGTGGCATCTTTATCTTGTCCCCTTTAATAAGATCCTGCTAGTTTTTATTGGTATAACAATAGAGTCCATCAGAGTGGTCTTTGACTCGACCTGTGCCAGGGTGTTCCTGCCACTGGAAAGGCTCCACATGTTAATGAACCGCAACACGGAAGTCTCCGCGTTCCCTCTGACTACAGCCAGGGTCTGTCTGCGCCTCTTGGGTCGCATGGCAGTGCACGCTTACGTGGTCCACTGTGGCAGGCTCCGAATGCGGCCCCTGCAACAACGGCTGGGGATGGTCTATTCCTAGTCCAGAAACCCCCGGAAAAGATCATTACCATTCCCCAGGTGATACTTATCTCGCTGTGATGGTGGACCGACCGCACGACAGTCCTGGAGGACGTTCCATTTGACAACCCCCCCTCACTCCATCGAATTGGTGTCAGATGTCTCGGCCCTCGCTGGGATGCACACTGTCTACATCAACAGGTAAGAGGGAGCGCGCTTGTCGACTCTCTGTCAAGAGGAACTCCATCTGTGGGACGTCTGCATCAGCCACGAAATCCACCTGGAAGCTTGTCACCTTCCTGGTGTCAAGAATATGCTGGTGGACCAGCTCAGCAGGGACTTCTCTTCTCACCACGAGTGATCGCTCCATCCAGAGGTAGCCTGCTTGATCTTCCAAAGGTGGGGAACCTGTTTGCTACAAGACAGAACAGGAAAATCCACGGGTTTTGCTCTTGGCAAGGTCTGAGCAAGGACTCCCTCTCCGATGCCTTCCTCCTGTCATGGCCAGGGAACCTGATGTACACATTCCCTCCGATTCCACTCATCGGCAGGGTCCTGGCAAAGATCAAGAGAGACAAAGCGCAGGTTGTCGTGATCGCCCTGGCGTGGCCTCGCCAAAATTGGTTAGGCATGCTCATGAGCTTGTCAGCGGCCCCTGCCCAACCACCCGGACCTGCCGTTACAGGACCACGGTCAGCTCCTACACCCCAACCTAGAGTCCCTCCACCTCTTGGCATGGATGCTGCGTGGCTGAACCCGGAGGAACGGACCCTGTTTGGAAGGAGTCCAACAGGTCCTCCTTGGGAGTAGGAAGCCCTCAACCAGACTGACTTACCAGGCCAATTGGACGAGGTTTTCCCACTGAGCGTCCGAGCACGACATCTCTCCCTCAAGTTCTTCCATACAGGCTGTCCTGGAGTATCTGCTCCATTTGAGGAACCAGGGCCTGGCACACTTCCATTAGAGTACATCTAGCAGCCATCTCTGCTTTTCATCCGCCGATCCAAGGACAGACGGTATTTTCCCATGACATAACAGTCAGATTCTTGAGAGGGCTCGAGAGACTCTTCCCGCAGGTACGGACTCCTGACCCACAGTGGGATCTTAACTTGGTCTTTTCTAGTCTCACCAGCTCACCCTTTGAGCCGCTGGGTTCTTGCTCCCTTTCACACCTGTCATGGAAGGTCGCTTTCCTGGTGGTGGTGACGTCGGCAAGACAGGTCTCTGAAATTAAAGCCTTGACCTCAGAACCAATATGTGGCAAGCCATGGCCAGGTTCGAAGGGTCACTCCCCAAGGCTTCCAAGAAGGAGTTTTGAGCGATCCTTGATGAGGGCACGACCGCGGCCAGGGTGGACCTCCAGGCAGCGGCAGATGCTGCGGACACTGCTGCCCACACCATGACTTCCACTATCTCCATGCGGCGAGCCTCTTGGCTGTTCCTCTCTGGGTTGTCCACCAAGTTCTCAGCAGTCAATGCAGGAACCTGCCCTTCGATGGCTGGGCCCTATTTGCAGAGCAAACAGACAGCAAGTTGCATGGCCTCAACGACTCCCACACCACCCTAAAAATCCTGGGTCACTATGTCCCAGCCCCGGTGCATAAGCAGTTCAAACTGCAGCAGCCGCAGGGCCAGGGGAGCCAGCCTTGGCAGGACCAGCCCCATAAACAAGCCAAGGGCTACAAGTGCTACCCGCCTCCACCCTCTGCCCAGTCGGGCTTGACCCCTAATAAGCAGGGGGCCAGACTCGACAAGAGTACAGGCGTCTTTAGTGGCCTTCCTGGCGCACATCCCTATCCAGGACATCTGTAGAGCCGCAACGTGGTCCTCTGTTCACACATTTACCACTCATTATGCTATCGCTCAGCAGGCCAGAGACGACGCTGTGTTGCAATCTACATGTCCGTGAACTCCTACCCACTCCGGGGTACTGTTTTGGAGTCACCCAATATGGAATGGACATGAGAAGCACTCGGAGAAGAAAAGACAGTTACCTTTTCCGTAACTGGTGTTCTTCGAGATGTGTTGCTCATGTCAATTTCATAACCGCCCGCCTTTCCCCACTGTCAGAGTTTCCGGCAAGAAGGAACTGAGGATGGGGGGAGCCAGCGGCACCCCTTATGCTGCGCTATGCGGGCACCACTCCAGAGGGCCCCAGAGCCAGTCCCCTATGGATACTGCTGAGGGAAAAACTTCCAGCACCGGTGCATGTGGCGAGCATGCTCACCTAATATGGAATGGACATGAGCAACATATCTCAAAGAACACCAGTTACAGAAAAGGTAACAGTCTTTTCTCAAGGTAGTAGTTCCAGCTAATGGGAGACACACCAGACAGGCTCTTTGGCCTTATACAGCCATTACTGTCAGAACATTATCTGGCACAAATATGTACTGCCTTGTAAAATGGAGTGTGCTTCCTGTCATGTCTTCTGTAAAAGATTGAAATGCCCGGAGTACATAAATGTGCTGTGTACACTACAAAAACCAGTGTTACAAGTTGGATAGTTCTGTGTACCATTTTTATAATGTAATACATTGGGTTGAAACAATACTTGTAAGAAAAACACACAATGTGTGTGGTGTGTTCTCCCCAATTTATAGTGAATTCATTGTTACCTTTTTATTGATTTTTTTTAGTCACCTGTGTTCACTTCAACACCTCTATCTTCATCTCCAAGACCAAATTCTATTCTACTCAGTTCTGCTCCTGGAGAAATCACAGTTAAAGACCAAACAGAAGGGGGCGGAAATTCTGTGGACGATCTCAGGATTCAGATTAATGAATTGTTGAGTATTGTAGAAGCACTGAAAAAAGATCATAGGTAAATATTATTTAATTCCTCTTACCCCTCAATTGAATATATTTAACAAATTCTGTTCTAAATATTATTGTATACTGGAAAATTTCTTTTCAAAGGTAAGCTTTCCATATTGATCACTCTGCATTAGGCACCTTGCTTTAGAAGTTCACCCAACAGGTTTATATAATGAATATATATTAATTTTTGTTCAGAAATACAGTAACTCCTTACTTAAAGTTGTTTTGTTGTTACGTTGCTGATCAATTAGGGAACATGCTCGTTTAAAGTTGTGCAGTGCTCCCTTCTAACGTCGTTTAGCAGCCGCCTTCTTTGTCCACTGCTTGCAGGAAGAGCAGCCCATTGCAGCTAGCTGGTGAGGGCTTGTAACCAGGGTGGATCGGCAGCCCACCTATCAGCTCCCTCTATCAGCTTCCCGCTCCCCTAAGTTCCCTGTGCTGCAGCCGCCTGGCAGGCTATCAATCGGCAATTCAGCTGTCCCTCCCCCACTGTCATGTGCTGCTCCTGCCCTCTGCCTTGTAACGGCTCCCAGAGACTCCTGCTTGCTGTGCAGGGGGGAAAGGAGGGAGGCTAATATCAGGGTGTCTCCCTCCCCCCTGCTCCTGCACCCCGCTTACCCCTTCTCCATATAGAGCAGGGAGGGGACACCAACGGAGAGAGAGAGAGAGAGAGCTTGGAGCAGCAGCTGCTGTCTCAACTTCCTGATCCACTTTAAAAGACAATGCACTTAAGAGTGTGTCAGTTTACTTAAAGGGGCAGTGTGCC